CGGACAAAAAAGGGAGGGTTGACCGCGCACTTGCTGTTGCTGTGTTCACTAGGTCTCGTCCCCTCCGTCTTAACCCGGTAGGAAACGGAAGCCGTAACCGAACCACAGCTTTCACCTTCTCCGGCCGGCGCGTGGGTTGGACAGTGCACCTTGCAGGCTAGATCTTGGTGATGGATCAATTGCGACTACCAGACGTTCTTGGCAAAACACAAGTCCGTAAGCGACCGCGAAGCCGAATGGCCTGGGTGTTGCTCATGCTCACGAGTCTGGAACCAGACTGACCTTTGGCCATGCGGCTTAAGGTTGAACAGGCATCAGACGACAGTGTTGGAGATGATTGGTTGATGATCGCTCCGACCGACGTTCTTGCCGTCTCTTGTGGAATGGATAATCACTTTGATCGCCAGGCGACCTAAGAAGAATGAGTTGTGGCTTCTTCTGTAACCTGGTGGAGATGTTCATTTCTGGGCGTCTGATCAGCCTTATCTGCAACCTCTCGTGGAAGGAACGCAAAGCGGTTAGCCTCTGCAATATCTCGGCACCCATCCGCTGATTTTCTATGGGACCTCAAGCAGCCTGCGGCCTAACCGCTCTGGCACATTGCGCGCTCACTTGCATACCCAGTGTCTTGCTCAACCGCCGTCGACGAGGCCTGCTCACGCCAAAAAACAATGGAATTAAAGCATCAGAACTTCTACGGTTCATAGGTTTCTTACGTTTTAGCAAGAACTAGAACGGTTGTTGCTTCCAGTATTTCCAGTGCACCCATCCGTGGTTCTTGCAGCGGCTGTTCCTTCGACAACGTTGTGAAACAAATTGCCCACCGGCGCTGGTTGCGTAGATATTAAGCTGGATGTTGGAAATGACTGGTGTGCGGTGGTGCAGAATGGCGCAGTGCGTGGTTGCTGTTGTAATGCCGGATTTTGTAAACGGAAATTCCAGTGATGGTTGTCTGCAAACCACGATGCGCCTTGATTGTATACTCCCAGTCCCACTTGTTTTTCAAGACTTGAAAATGCGAGTTCATGGTTTATGTTGCAAAAACCTGTTTAAATCACAGCATGACAAGAAACCAAGCCATGCAAAAAGAACAAAAGCGCACGTAAGAAAAACAGTCCCGCCATTAAGACAATGTGCAGCATTCAGGTATCCATAGCAGCCAAAGCCATAGCAGTTTGGATTTGATAAGACATGCGGTGCATTATGCACATTGATTGACGCATGCGTGGAAGTCTTGCTGGCATGAGCTGTTTTGGCCCATGAAGAGCGGGCGCTACAAAGCTTCAGAGGAGTTGTGCTTTATTGGTTGTCGTCTCTTGATCACAGAGTTGCCGTGAACAATAACCATGATAATAGTCACCGAAACATTAACAATCAGTAGCAGTATTAACATGCAGTGCCAGTAATGCTGACCAAAAAGCCACGAACAACAATGATAAAGAAGCCCAATACTACCAACACAAATAGTACTTGCAATGATGCCAAACATCAACAGCAGCAATAACAAGTCGCAGGATGAACGGCATCAGTTTCGCGGAGTTCGAGAGTTCCAGTTTCGACAACTTGTACAGCGCGATGCCCGGGCTATTTGGGGATGGCAGTGTAGTCCGCCTGCTTTTTGCATTCTATGGTCTTTCTTTTATTGTTATGTCCAATTTCGCTGGCTGAGGCAATGGGTTTGCAAATGCCAAGCATCTGGACGAGGCATGGCTCGATTTTGCGGCAGCACGCCGTTCATTTCACATGATGGTTGATGAAGTTGCACCATCCTGCTACATTCACGTCAGGTTGGGAAGCAACTCGCGAGGGGAAAGCCAGGTTCGAGACTTACATTACATAAAGGGCAGAGTCTGCCTTCTTACACAGTGTGTGCAAAGCGTTTTGAGCCTCGTCGGAACGGTCATCTGACAGGTGACTGGGCTTCCAAAGCGCTGTCGGAAGCCACGGTGTCAAGTGCTCGAAAGTTTGGGGGAATGATGGTGTGAAGTGTGTGCACGCGCTTCTGCTTCTAGTAACTTTATCCTTACGCTAAGGCCTCGGATTCAACCTGTCCCTGCTCAAACCGAGCAGACACGCGTGGTTCGACCAGCCGGTTGCCAAGCATCCTTAGGCGCAGGCTGTGCGAGTTGGCTTGATGGGGCGTGCATGTTTAAAACCATGCGCTTGTTTTGCCCTGTTTCAGTGTTCGTGACTCCTGACGGTTGACACAACTTCTTAGGCGAAAGAGCCGGCAAGACAGAATGGACTCTCACGTGCCCTATCAGCCAGTGCCCCGGCCGGCATTGCACCTTACTCAGCTATATTCCTGCTGCAAGCAATCTGCTGCTTGTCGCTGCTTGCCGAAGTGCTGGTGTGGTTGTTTGCAACTTGCATTCCAGAGATGCTGAATCCAGCCGGAGTGCTCAAATCCCTGCTCTTGCCAGCTTCCCCTGCCATCAGTGGCCGTCGGATTCACGATGACCAACCCCAAGGTGTTCTTCGTCGGCAGCTCAGTCGTGCCACCTGGAGCTTGCATGTCTGTTGTGTTTTGAAGTTCTTGAAGCTGCCAGCGATCTGCACGACTTTTGTGTTCAGCCTCGCTGAGTCTAGGACATGACCATCGGTGGCACAGCAGCCGGCCGCATCACCATGGAGCTGCGCGCAGACGTTGCCCCCAAGACTGCGGAGAACTTCCGCGCACTGTGCACTGGTGAGAAGGGCACGGGAAAGTCTGGAAAGGCACTTCATTTCAAGGGCAGCGCCTTCCACCGCGTGATCCCGGACTTCATGTGCCAGGGCGGTGACTTCACGGCTGGGAACGGAACCGGCGGTGAGTCCATCTATGGCAGCAAGTTTCCTGATGAGAACTTTACCCTGAAGCACACCGGCCCTGGAATCCTGTCCATGGCCAACGCCGGTCCCAACACTAACGGCTCGCAGTTCTTCTTGTGCACAGTGAAGACGCAGTGGCTGGACGGCAAGCACGTGGTCTTTGGCGCTGTGACTGACGGCATGGACGTCGTGAAGAAGATCGAGGCAGTGGGATCTCAGTCCGGAAAGACCTCCAAGCCCGTCGTCATCGCCGACTGCGGGCAGCTCTGATGGCGTGGATGAGAGTCGGAGCCTTCGGGCGAGCGGTCGACGTTTTGGGCAGCTCAGTCGATGTACCTTGCTGCCTGGTCGACCAGATATATCTTGACGCTTGCGAAACTTTTGTATGAGGCAAGTATGAAGCATGGATTTGCTCAAGGATTGCGGCCAAAAGTCTCCATATTCTCACAAAGAAGCTTGTAGCATCTTGTAGCTGTATGTACAGCAGCTACACATCGCACTCAGCATTGACAGGACACACCTGTAAGGCATACTGTACAGAGAGAGTTTTCGAGCCTGTTGACTCCTGCAGGGCAGCAGCATTCGGGGCTCGAGCATTTTGGGACCCAACCGGTACTATCGCCATGGCAAAGCCAGTTGTGTTTTTCGTGCTGCCCTTACGGTCACATCAGATATGAGAGCCCGGGGAGTGTATGTGTCTATCCAGTTTGCGGGTTGGCAAATGCAGTCACACGTCTGCATGGAATAAGCGCGCTGCACAGCACGTTGTCAGGATATGTCCATTGGTGGAACGCCCGCCGGCCGCATCACCATGGAGCTGCGCGCAGACGTTGCCCCCAAGACTGCGGAGAACTTCCGCGCACTGTGCACTGGTGAGAAGGGCACGGGAAAGTCTGGAAAGCCGCTTCATTTCAAGGGCAGCGCCTTCCACCGTGTGATCCCGGACTTCATGTGCCAGGGCGGCGACTTCACGGCTGGGAACGGAACTGGCGGCGAGTCCATCTATGGCAGCAAGTTTGCGGACGAGAACTTTACCCTGAAGCACACCGGCCCTGGAATCCTGTCCATGGCCAACGCCGGTCCCAACACTAACGGCTCGCAGTTCTTCTTGTGCACAGTGAAGACGCAGTGGCTGGACGGCAAGCACGTGGTCTTTGGCGCTGTGACTGACGGCATGGACGTCGTGAAGAAGATCGAGGCAGTGGGATCTCAGTCCGGAAAGACCGCCAAGCCCGTCGTCATCGCCGACTGCGGACAGTTGGCATAGGAAGTTTTGTATGCAGTTTTGGTCGCCTCGGCAAGGACCGCAGTTTTGTGACCGTGCAACCTAACACTCTTTTGCACACCCAGCTTGAAAAGTGAGCGGCAGGTTATTTTAGGAGTGGTAGTTTCTTGGATGTGCTCAAATACAACAAGGCTCATCAGCAGCAGCAAGTGCCCCTGAATGACATGGGCGTGGCGACCTCGGTGGGCCTCGATGTGCCGGAGTGGAGGTAGCATCCGCAGCCATGCCGTGCTTTCAGGTTATGCCCGGTAGCAGAGGGGTGGATCCTGCCGCACAGGTGCCAGTCTCATTCCGTCCAGATATCACTGAAAGCTTAGTATGCTTCTTTTTTACCTCCCCCTCCTTGATTTGAACCCGTCCAGTCGCGTGGTGGAGTCTTGGGCAGTCTTGAGCATATGAGCTGAGCCTTTGAAATAAGCACTTCTGGTCTGACAGAAACGAAGCAAACTCCTTGTAGGGTTCTTCACTTTCATATCGATGACTGCATTGCATGGGTTTCGCCTTAGTCTGGATTGTGGTGCACTTACACTGGCGCTGTCATGTTCGTCATAAACTAGGGCTAGAGCGAATTCAACTAACTCCCAGTTGCATTGGCAACAGGCATGGCGACCATCACAAGAAGCACATGCACGTGCCCAGAATGCCCCGACGGCAGCTGCAGTGGAGGCGGCCGAAGAGTGGGACCTTTTAATGTGATTTGCCCTGCTGAACCCTTCAATTCTTCCTGGCGTCGTGCTCAGGCGCCACGCGTGGCACCGAACAGCAACCAGGCAAGCGCCGTTCGGAGATACTTGTATTTGTGAGGTTTCTGCAGCACCGCTTTCAGGGTGCCTTCGTTGGCTGGAAGTCAAACTGAGGAAGGTGTGACCGTGTGACCCGTGCCGTGGTAGATGCAGAGCCCGGATCGGAGTGAGTATTTTTGGGGACTGCCGCAGTCTCAACTCTGCATCTACAATGACAAAGCAACTGATGCTCAGCAAGTGTGAGCCTGCATGTGGTTCGTTTGATGTACAGAGTCATGCCGTGTGGTGCCGTTGTGCCATACTAGCAAGACGGTCTGCCCGGCTGCAAAGTAAAAGTTGCCAACTGGAACGCGCAGTGCAGCTGACGTGATGTGTTGGAACTTGAGCTGCAAAGTACTGACCAGCTGCATTGCTGACAGACACTGTCCTGGTGCACCAAAGACTTAGCCGAACAGCGAAAAAGGGGCGAGCTGTGACGGCTGAGTAGCTTCAGAAACCGAATTGCGGCGCTCGGATTACGAGGAACCGCGAGTTTTCTGGACTGCTGCAATAGGTTCAACATCCAATGATTTACTCAGCACTCGTCAGCCTAGCCCTCGACGCCTTAGCCTGGAATCTCCACTCTCCACCCAGCAATCCCAGGCGTGTATGACAGCTGATAGGTATTGGCATAGTCGGAAAAGTCGGACATTCATGCATCGGCTTGCAACATTCTGGAAGTGCACTCCGACAGGACGCAGAACTGTGGTCGACTTTCCTGATGTTATGTAGACCAGAGTCAATCGTGCAACGCAGGAATCGAATCTGAGCTGCGACCATGGGTGTGGGCCTTGAGTCTTTGTTTGGATGTGAACGGTACCTCAGCAGGGCTACCATGAAATCCTTGATTGCGTTAGGGCTGCACTGCACGTGCCAAGGTAAGAATCAGCACAGCAAGGACATGCTCCACCTGCGGCCTGGGCCTTCTTTTCATGGGTCCCGATTCTGTTGTCTTACCGCGCACATTCAGGCCTACAGAGTGGGCACAGGATGGAAGGGGTTTCAAGGCTGCTGTTCCGGCTGTGCGACGTCAAGTTTCAGCATTCAGCCGTGCGCATGCGAGGCAACAAAATGGACTCCATTTTCAAAACTACCTCTTAACTGTCGGTGCCTTACTGTAGACCAGTTTGGATGCTCCCCGCTGGCTTCAAAGCGTTCTGAAAAAGCGATTGAGCCTGAGGCTGCTCTTTGTCCTTGCAGCCGTTCGACAAACCTGTTGGGGGCCCTCTATTGAGACATCAAAATGGCTGTGGCCAAACCTTTCAAACAAAGGTCGCAACGCGGGACGGGTCGGTCTTTGAGATCACCTACATCCTAAAGTGATCCGATCGGTTGTGCTTCTTGAATTGTCCACGACGTCCGGTGCCCGATCCAGCTCCTTCTTGTTCGAGTCAGATCAAGGTACATCAAGCGATATGGCAAGCATCCGGTGAATGGTGGCAAGCTAGAAGTGAAAGAGCTCATACCACTGCCGGGGTCTTGGTATGCGAACCTGCCCGGTGCTCTGGTTACCGTCTCTGTTCCCCATTAGCCATGCCCATCAACTCCTTATCAAATCTCGAGTGCCACGCGTAATGTCTCGAGAAGCCCGCTTGTCACAAATCGCCAATCGGTGTCCCAGCACCCAGCATGCCGGAACATTGTATCTGGAGCATTACTCTGACCGCAGGTCCACTTGCCAGAACTGTCAGTCATACCTTTGTCAAGCCACTACGTGATGCAAGAGCCATGCTGGCAGCACAAATACCACTCTGGTTCTTCGGTTACGCCTACTGTGAGATCTGCGAGTCTACTGCAGTTACAAGACACTGGCCTTGCTGTAAATCCATAAAGCTTCAGGGCTTGTCTTCGCCTGCAGCCGGATGTTTTTTAAAGACCAACCAGGCACTTTCACAAGAATGCACAGGGCAATCTCCACTGCCCGGTTACCTTCAAGGCCCGGGCCGGTCTCCTGCCACGGATCATCGAACAGGGTTTAGGGGCCCGTTTTTTGCTCAGGTGTTGGGCAACAACACTCCGGTTTGCGCGAACGTCAAGCTCGGAGCAGAGTTGTTGAAGACCAGTCCCTTCGGGAAATGGTTTTGCTTGTAGGGCTCGACGGGCACCCGAGTCGGGGTGTTGTCAACTCCCAGGTCCGGGCATGTCTACTGCTTGGAAGCGGTGCTGGAGCTCAACAAGAAGAACAAGAACTGGCCGGGACCATAGGGTGCATGTCATTCCGTCCCACATGCCGCAGTGCGTGATGTGACCATTAGCCAGAATCGCTCTGCATGGCATAGGAAGGATCTGATGACTGGGCAGCCGTTCGCGTGGACGGACATCGCACCGTCCCTGGCAGAAACGACGGGCGTAGATGGCTGGTACTCGTAGGGATTTCCTGCCGCCAAAGCTCAGATAATGCTTCAAGATCCCGACAAGATTGAGGCTGCCACGCTTGGAAGATGGCAGAAGTGTAAACAAACACTGACAGCCGTCGCAGGGACGCGAAGTGTCCAAGTTCTACTTCATTGTGATGGGACAGCAGGCAGCTGCGTTGCCGAGCCGGGAAGCATGGAATTCGGCAAGCGCAAGTTGCAGCAAAGCGCAGGACGAAGTGGTCCGTGAGATCACCAACCCTGAGAGCAAAGCGCTTCGGTCGAATGTTCTGCTTTGCAGCGAAGAAGAAACTGAGCAACGTGTCAAGGCATCTTTGCAAACGGATGACAAAATCCGTCCAAATGCCGCAGCCAGCCTAGCACAATGGCATGACAAGTGATACGTTTTCCTTGCGGACCTGACTTCGAAGAGACTGAGGCAGTCGCGCGCATCTTCGAGGAGAAGGAACGTCTGGCCGAAAAGAAGGCGCAGGAGGTGCAGCCGCAAGTCCTTCTGTAACCGAGAAGAGTTCTCGGCATCTCGGTAGTGCCAGGAAGCCGCAAAGGAGGCAGCCGATCCCGAAGCAGCTGCTGCTGCCGGGACCTGACCACAGCAACCTGGTACCTCTTTTTCGAAAGAACTTCGGTGTACTTTGCCAGGCGAAAGCCGCAGCTGCCGAGGCTAAAGCCAAAGCGCAGGAGTTGGAAGAGGCCTTTGTGACCGACTCATGTCGGTATTTCGCTTTCGAACTTAGTAGTCATGAGAAGTAGCAGAGATGGCAGTTGCTCATACTGCTCGGTGCCTTTTCTCCGTCTCGTGCGGGAAGGCAGACTTGCTTGACGTTTTGATGTGCATGCGTCCATGGCGAAATGCATCGCAAACTGTATTTTCAAATCGAGATAGTCGCAAAGTTTCCAGTAGAGGTTGGGTTCGCTTTTCTAGACCTCTTTCCACCCAGAAAGCTCCCAAACAAAGCTAGGCGGAACTTGTGCAAGCCAACGGCTAAGTGTCTGACAGTTGTTGAGAATTGTTCCACGTGTCAGGCAAGCAACCCAACGCTCCTGCCAAGAGGAAGCTTCCATATATGTCGATATTTACATCTATATCTATATCGGTATCTGTATATGTTTCTGTATCTATCCCTATATCTATGTTTATATCTATGACTATGACCGTATCTACAACATCTATATTTATATCTCTGTCTACACCTATGTCTATATCTATAACTATAACTCTGTCTGTACCTGTATCTATATCTATATTTACATCTCTGTCTTTATCTATGTCTATATCCATATCTATAGTTAAAACTCTGTCTAGAGCTGTGTTTATCTCTCTATCTGTATCTATATCTATATCTCTATATTTGTCGATGTTCGTATCTACATCTGTATCTACATCTATGTCTAATCTTTATCTTTACCGATATCTGTATCTATATCTATCACGATGTCTATAGCTGTACTTACACCTGTATCTGTATCTATAAGTCCATGACTGTAACGGAATCTTGATCTATATTTACATTTATATCTATAGTGTTCTATCTTTGTCGATATCTATACCAAGAGCTATATATCTTAGAAAACGTCTTTGTGGTGGTCCCCGGGACATGTTGGCCCGCAATTGCTTTCGTCGTAAGACTGTGTAGAACGTTTCTATTGCTGATGAGTGTGACCTACCCATAAGCCAGGCGAACACGGGGAAGTGTTCCTGAAGATGCGAGAAACGCGCTCATCCTTCGATTAGCGTGCTCCTGTTGTCCTTTCCGGGAGCAACCTTTTGACTAGTAGGGTCTAAGGTTTCGGGTTTAGGGTCCATATGGTTAGGCTTCAGTGTCTAGTCATTTTTTCGGCTTCTTATTCTCAGAGCGATGCCTTGCTTTGGCGATCCAAAATGGACCCTAGTCTAGAGAACTACTCACATGTTTGGCATCTCTGTTAGTGGTTGTGTGTCCTGCAGCCGCCAGCCCTGAATGCAAGTTTCGTAACAGAAGACATCCGAAGGTAGGCATAGGAAGTCTCAAGACTCAGACGACTTTTGGTGGACTTGGTTTGTTTCTCGGGTCTGTGCAGGCTCGGCAGAAAAGGAAGACGAACGAGCGTAGCGGACTCAGAGCTTTGCTGCTTTTCTTCTGGTTTCATGGTATTGACATGTTATGCAGAAATGAGAAACACAGCATGCAAGCCTTTCTCCAGCTGTTGTTCTTGCTCGGGTTGCTTTTCGGTTCAAGTGCTCGCACGACTGTCTTGAACCAGCAGTGGCCTACATTAGCAGTTAGCATCAGAGTCGTGAACCGGGCAGATATTAGCGAATGTGTCCATGGAGCCGTGGGCAAGATCCACCCCAACATGTCTGGGGCAATTTCAAGGACCCTTGGGGCAGCCCGATGCAGTTTCATAAGAGGACAGCCCAGCAGTGCACCACGTGTGCAGGGGTACTACGACATCCGGAATCCGGGTGGGGAAGATCCTCGCCTGCCGTGGCTCTGCCGGACCATTGATTGGAGAGGCCAGGCGTAGCAAAGGCTCCTAAGCGACAGAGTCGTGCGGACCTTGAGACGCGCAGGCAAGCAGGTGCTAGATCTGGGCTGCAACGCTGGTGAGATCACGCGAGCTGTCGCAGCAGAAGGTGCGAAACGTGCCCTTGGCGTGGCTTGGATGCACCAACTCGTGAAACGAGTTTATAGGTCTGAGTTGATGGCATGCTGCTGCCCGAGGTTGATATCGATGCCTCACTAATTGGGGAAGCGAGGCGTGCGACGTCGAAGACGCAGGTGGCCCGAAGGCAGCTGAATGATGGATTGAAGCCGGGGAACGTAGATCCAGAGCACGAAACAACTCTCCTATCAGAGCTTGCAGGGTGCGATTTCGCTGTCGAGATCTTCTTCGTTTGAAGTTGCGGCGCAAGTATGATGTTGTATTGCTGCTGAGCACTTCCAAGTGGGTGCACCTGCAGCAACTTGGCGGCAGCATGCAGCAGCCTCTTCACTTCACAGCAGGGCGGGGCTCTTTGCTTTCTGTCTCGCAGGCATGGAGACGAGGGCCTAAAGCAACTCTTCCGGCGCTGCAAGCGATGGCTCTGTCCAGGAGGCGTCCTGGTCCTCGAGCCACAGCCATGGAAAGCCTACAAGAAGGCCCCGGAGAGAGCCCCAAGCGAGGGCCTGCGAAGGCCCTCGCGATCACGTTGCCTTTGGACTTTGTGAGGTGGCTGATGCGCATGCGGACGTCGAGAAGACCTGGGGTGAGATTCAGCTGAAACCAAGCAGCTTCGTCGACTTTTTGACGCAGGTTCGCTTTCGACTTCGTCCAGCAGCTGACTTGAGTTCTTTCCTGGTCTTGAGCAGGTCTTGGGATTTGACGGGGCCTATCGGTGGGCATTCGTCGACCACATGCAGGAGTCCTTCCAAAGGATGTTGTACTTCTTTTGGAAACTCGTCGGAGACTACATGACAGTGCGAAGCCTTTAGTGTGTCCTCGTTTCATCTTGTTGTTTCGTCTCTTCATGTTGCCCGTTTGCTATCCTGCGTCAAAGAGGCATAGCTAAAAGTACAGATCAGCCTGCTTGAACTGCTGCTCAGTCTAGCAAACTCGCTGATGTAGGTTGCAAGAGGGCACGGTTGTGAACAGAAAGATGCTGAAACGAACTTTAAGGAAGCCGGAAAGATGTGCAAGAGTCAGCCCCGGCCTCGCATGAAGTTTCCATGCGCTGCGGGTTTTGCGTTTTTGGCTTTGCCTGAGGTGCGTGCAGGCGCGTGCGCAGGCTGAGTAGGTCGAGGCCGAGCAGGCGCCTGGCAGCGTGCGCGGGAAGCAGTGTGACCAGATCTCAACGGCTGGCGACTAAAAAGGAAAATGCGGCCTTGTGTATCCCTGCCCGTTTTCGTGCCGTCCAAGTTCAAGCCATCCTTAAAGCACTAGCTGCTAGCCGAGCTGCCGGGTCTCTGTCTCGAGGCTACACATCCAATGAAGCCGCAGCTTCCTTCACCTCCACTGCCGCACCTTTGAAGCACCGGCCTCGGGTGCCCGGCACCAACCGAAGCAAGCGCTGCTCTCGAACTGGCCTTCGGCTTGCTGCCTTCTGCTGTGCCTTTCTTGCAGTGTGCTGATTGGCCCTACCTTCCACTGACCTTCAGTCAACCCTGTTGCCTTCACTTGGATTTGACCGGGTGTGCAAGAAAGGCATGTCTGACTCCGGCCGTCTTTTGTGTCCGGCTGAGGTCGAAGAATGAGCTGCGCAAGCTCACGGAAGAAGAAGAGTTGCAGGACACGGGCGTGACACAGGGAATTCTGGGCTTGCAGCGCTACAGATCTGTTCTGCCATGGTGCTGCTGCCACGATCCGTCGGGAGTGTGTGCGCAGTCGGTTGGCTTGACAGGACATCTACGATCAGGCAGCTTGCTTTCTTCTTGTGAAGTCCTTCAGGGTGCTTCTGGCAGCATGCAGGTTCGCAAGAAGAAGCAAAAGGGCTACGTGCTTCCGGCTGGTTCTGCATTGCGACTCTACTGGGATGTCAAAGTTTCCAGGTCCGAATGGTCACCTCCCATGGTTGTCTCAACTTGGAGTTGCACTGTGACATTGTCCGCGCCTCAGCGGCCTCAAGCCCGGCTTCAAAGGGGGAAGAACGTCGCCATTTCCACAGCCGCTCGGGGAAGACTTTTGCAAGAAGGCTAAGGCGGTGCCAAGGCACGGCTTGGGAAGGGGCTTTTTGTCTGAGGCCCCGCGGACCTCGGACAACTTCTTGCGCCTCTGCGAGAAGACCTACTACGACAACACGGCGAGGGCCGAAGTCAGCGGAGGTGCTTCTATGTGGATGTCCTGCGGTTACTTGTGTGCAGATTTTCCACCGACTGATCCGGAATTTCATGCTGCAGGCCAGAGCCATAGAGAGTTGGGGCTTATGCGCCTTCAATATGTGGCACGCGAGTCCGGCCTTCTGACAGGGAGGCGATCCCACTGGCACCGGCCGCGGTGGTGAGAGTGCATTCGAAGGCACCGCCGTGGGATATTTTTTTTCGCTTCCGTCCAAGTGAATCACTGCCTTTGGGAATGCGAGAACCCATGGTTACGGATTGAGATGTGTTTTGTGGGTGCCTGGGCAGGTGGAGCCAAGCACCTAGCCACCTCTGTAAGATTCTTGGGCTCAAGACAAGACTTGTCCGAGATGAATCAAGATCAGCTCTTCGAAGCGGTGCGTGATGGCAGCTTCACAGAGGCCACGGAGGCACTTTTGAAGCTCGACGTCAGCTGGCGTCACAGCCAGCTTCGGCAGAATGTGTTGTTTCTCATAGCAGCACGACGGCGCAGGGGGGGCGAGATTTTAGGCAGACAAGCGGTGCGGATGGGCATTGATTTGGCCGAGGTGGACCTCAACCAGCAAACACCACTGTTCTACGCAGCGGCTTATGGAAATCTGACATTTGTCAGGTTTTTGCTGAGTCTGGGATTCCATATCAACTGGCGTGACAGCTGGAGGGAGGCTGCCCTTTTTTACGGTATCAACAATTCTCACATGGATGTGGTGAACGTCCTCATCGAACATGGTGCCTCAGTGCTGGTCAAATCTATGCGAAGTAACCAGACTCCACGGGACCTTTTGAAAGCCCAAAGTCGGCACGTGCCGGAGACTAGGAAGCGCCCTCGACCTTCGCCCCTCAGAGCTGCAGCAAGGAGCCGATTCACCATCTTTGACAGACGGAAGATAGTATGCACGAGCTCATCATAGACAAGTCGCAGCAAAGTATTGCGGTGGAAAATGAGGATTACTGGGTGTGCGAGTCTGCGAAGGACTGCGCCAAGCGCTTGCGACGTTCAGAAAGAGAGTTTGCAGTGGACCACGCCAACCCGCATTCAGAAATGCCTTGGTGCGAAACCCTCACTACAAAGGACGCAGCAACTCTGGTGGGTGTGGTAGTGGATGACAAGGCGGAGGACAAGCATGTGGCGTGTATTGAGGAGCTGGCAAGCGCTTTGAAGGCTTCCTTGTTGCCACTAGCGGCAGTGTCACAAACAACAAACATGGTTTCAGGCTATGTGTATGCGAAGTATGAAGAGCAAGAGCTCACGATCGGGCAGGTGAAGGTTGACCGCGGGCACCAGGGCAAAGGCTTAGGCGGCCTATTGCTTCAAGCTGCAGAGAAACGTGCAAGAGGCCTTGGATGGCCGTTCGCCAAGGTAAACCTGAGTGTATTGGAGACCAACGAGAAGGCGCGAAGGTGCTACACGAAAGCTGGCTTCAAGGTTTCTGCATCGACCCCATCCCGCTTCCCACCATGCAGCTGCCGTGATGACGAATGTCAGCATGCAAAGATCAAATGGCTCAGCATGCAAAATGGACTTGTTGACAGAACTATGTCCTAGTTTCACCGGACCACTGCAGGATGCGAAGAAACAGGCGAGCGGTACTCGCACAACAATCATCGTAAACGGATCTCTGATGTCTGCACCACGGCAGAATCACACCTCATATCAAAGGTCTTCAAGTCGTACTACCTTTGTATTATACATTGTTTTTCATACTATTGGAAAATATGGTGTGTTGTGTGTCATGCTATTTCGTATTATATTATTATGTATTGTACCGTACTTGACTATGTTCTGTCATGTTGTATCATGTTATATGATGCT